AGCCCCAGTCTGAGGGGAGACACAGCCCTGCCCTCAGGGAGCCCCAGTCTGAGGGGGAGATACCTTAAAAACTCAAGACAATGGGGAAGTCATCTATAGGGGCAGGGGCAGGCCCTCAGGGAGCTGTTGGATGGTGGAGCCAAGAGGGTCACTGGGGGCCTGAGGCTCAACTCTCCCTCAACGACAGTCTCCCTCCCCGGATGTATTTCTAGGGAGAGATCAGCACGTTAGGACTCCTCCTCAGAGTTTCATGATCCTCTTTGACACGGGCTCAGCCGACCTGTGGATGCCCTTGTCTGCCGTGAAAGTCCAGTCCACCGTGAGTGCCCATAGGGGAAGTCACAGGGAGTCACCCTGCCCCTGGTCCAGGTGGGGTTTGGGTCACTGCAGGGGCCAAAGGGAGTTGATGTGGAAGTGAGGAGAGAGGGAAGGAGTGGGGTCCTGATGTCCAAACCTTGCTCCTGATAGTCAAGAACATGTGCTTCCAGACAGAAGAGCCCTCCATGAACTCCCTGAGGCTACCTCTTCTCGCTGCAGTACAGGACTGGCAATCTAACCAGAGTCCTGGGCTTCCACGCTGTGACATCAGGCGGCGGGTGGCAGCCAGGATGGGAGCAAGCTGGGAGTCTAGCTTCCTTCCTGCTGAGGGAGGCTGCTGGGTCCCGGCCTCCTGAGGGCCACCCCCAAGGGCATTCTCCTCCTCTCGGGGAGCAGATCCAGGGCTCTCCCATCACTGACCAGGAGTTTGGCCTGAACTGGATGGAGCTGGACACCACCTTTGAAAGCATCCACTCTGATGGGATAAATGGCCTGTCCTCCTCTTCCATCTCAGCAGCCAGGGCCGCCACAGTCATGGATGGTTCTATTAAGTGGAACCTGATCCCAGCGCCCTTAGTCCGCTTCCGTCTCACCCGGTGAGAGGACCCCTCACCACCTGGGAGCTTCCTCCTCTGCTCTTCAAATGGTGGAGAGGGGCTGGACAACCCATTGCTGGACAGGGGGTTATGGAGAACAAGCCAGAAGCCTTGTCCTGAGCCGGGGACTGTTGGGGTACAAGAGAAGCAGGAGGGTGGCAAAGGGGAGGAGGCCTACTGAGTTGACTCAGAGAGCGGGATCCAAGGGCCGGCCCGGTGGCACAGCAGTTAAGTGCGCGCATTCAGCTTCGGCGGCCCGGGGTTCACAGGTTCGGATCCCAGGTGTGCACTGATGCACCGCTTGTCAAGCCACGCTGTGGCGGTGTCCCGTATAAAGTGGAGGAAGATGGGCATGGATGTGAGCCCAGGGCCAGTCTTCCTCAGCAAAAAAGAGGAGGATTGGCAACAGATGTTAGCTTAGGGCTGGTCTTCCTCACCAAAAAAACAAACAAAAAAATGTTAAAAAACAAAACAGAGCGGGATCCAGCAATGGGGGTCCCATCACCCTGCAGCTGCCTCCTCCCGAGTCTGATGTGTCTTTGGTCCACAGCTGACAAGATGACACCACCGTGGGAGAAGTCACTGTGTGGGGTGAGTACAGCCAGCTGTACACAGGTGAGGTCTACTGGAGGCCTGTGGTTGCCCAAGTTTACTGGCAGATCAACTTCCAGGACTGGGTGGATTCAAATCCCATCACCCCCAACCAAGGGAGGAGGCCTGGGGGGCTTCCTTCGGGAAAAATACAAGGCTTTTCCCAGCCCAAGGCAGACCTGGGGACTAGCCAGGGCTCTAAGAGAGAGCCTGCATGGAGGCTGGGGGAGGGATGGCATGACCTCTGACCTCTGATGACTCCTCCTGTAGGTTGTCCATAGGGCACCAGACCACTGACGGGTGCTGCCAGGGCTGCCTGGCTGTCATGGGCACAGGCACCTCCCTTGTCCCCGAGCAGATTTTTGGTCAGCTGACATAGCTCATCAGGGTCCCAGGGAACAGCCAAGGAGAAGTAGGCACCCCAACCCCAGTGTCAGTGGGAAGTCCAAGGACACTGACCTGAGGGGCTCCTTCCAAATCCTAGCCTCTGAGGGATTGCATGTCATTTCCCTGCCAGCTGCTTACTGCCAGGTGCACTGCATCTCCCTGCTCTGCCCCCTCCCTGACCCTTCCCCCTTAAAGGCTCCCCCAGTGACAGCCTTTTCCTCATATTTCTGCCCTACCTGCTGGAACTCCATCTTGGTGCCTTCACTGGGGTGTTCATCTGTGGGGAGGATACATCTGCGATGGTGGGGGAGAGGGAGGTTGAGGGACCAGATGGGAAGGATTTGGGCACAGGGTGGATTTCTAAGCTGTGGGACTGGTCACCTCCACCAGGGAGCCCTGGCAGGAGCAGATTCTGACCACCTGTCTCCGTGTCCCTTATTATTTCTCCAGTTTGTCACCAACTGCGGCAGTGGCCAGAGCACCCCTACCATCACCTTCCCCATCAATGGCATCAATTTCCCCTGCTGGGCCCTCAGTACCTCACACCCCACCCCCTTCCTACCTGGGTGTGGTGGAAAGAGCTGGAGGCCAGGTGGAAGGGGAGCCCGTTTGCAGCCCTTAGAGTCCTGGGATGTCAGATCTGCAAAAGACCTTAAGGATCACTTTATCAACTTCTTCCACAAAAACAATACCAGGAACCACCATTTCTTTAGAGCTTTCTGAGATGCCGTATGTGTAGTGGTGGAGGTCCAGTCCACCTGCTCAGGGATCGTTATTCTGCCACTTCCAAGCCTTGTCACTTTGGGCAAGTCACTTAGCTTCTCTGAGCCTCTATTTCCTCATCGGTAAATAGGGACAATACAGTGTTTTCCTCATCAGGTCCTTGCGAGAGTAAAGGGACCGGTAGACAGACAGCGATTAGAGCAGTGCCAGGCACACGCTGAGCACTCCGTAAGCACTGATTGCTATTCCTGGTGTCAGGCACTGAGCCAAGGGCCCTGTGTACATTTGTTCTTCAAATCCTTGTGACAGTCCTGGGAGTGGGTGCCACCATCACTCCCACGGGTGGTCACACAGCCCCTTTTTAAACCTGAGACTTGGCACTTACTACTTGTGGGGTATCCCCATCCCATTTCCCCAGGGTGAGGGGTTGAAGCCAAAGCAGAGGTACGGTGGTCAACGGGTCCTCTTCAGCCTACTCAAACCTCCAGACACGGCGGGCCAGGCCCCACTTCTCTCCCAGCCTTCAGCTCTGCTCCTCATGGGTGAATATGCATTGAGCATCCTCTGTGCCTCCACTGTGGGGGCCACGGAGGAAGGAAGAGACATCACCCCGCTCTCCAAACACTTGTGATGAATCGCTTATGTGCGAAATGACAGCAAAGAGTGCAAGACTGTGTGTGTGCGTGCACACACATGTGCTCAATGTCATATAGATCAGTGTTTTTCAAACCGCAGCTCACAACGCTTTAGAAATCAATTTAGTTGATTGGAACTAGCACTTTAGAAACAAACAGAATAGAAAAATTGGGGTGTATCACATACGATGGACTAGAATTTTTCTGGGGGGTGAGGCTCTCATTTTAATTATATATTATATGTATGAGTGTATAAGTTTATGGTGTAAAATATATTTCTAACTGTGGCTTGTGGTCAAAAAACCTCAAGGCCTCAGCTCTGGTGGTTGGGCCTCTGCCTCCCTTGGCAGACCCCTCTCACTGTTACAGTCCAGCCTCCCTGGCCCCATCATTTCGTCTTTCCTACTTCAGGCCCTTTGCATGTGCTATTTTGCCTGCCAGAAATGTTCTTTTCTTACTCTCTTCACCTGCCTAACTTTCTGTTCATCACACGTAATGCAGCAATGGGTCATATTATCTCCCTCCCACAACTGATGGGGAAACTAAAGCTCAGAGAGGTTAAGTGACTTGCCCAATGTCACACAGCTAGCCAGAAATGGGCTGAGATTTGAATCCAGGCTTCTCTGATTTCAGAGCTCAGGTCTTTTCCTTAACCCGGTGAGACTTGCCTGCTGGCAGCCTTGCTCCTATTCCTCCAGGTCAGGTCAGTAACTGCCTCATGGGGTTCCAGCCCATGTACCTGCCCTTGGAGAATGGCTGGCCTCTGCGGCTCCCTGAGGGTCTGCTACTCCATCTACGACACAGGCAACAGCAAGGTGGGCCCGGCCACTGCTATGTGGACTGGCTCTGCCTATCTCTCGGTTAGAGGCATGCCCTCTGAGTCTCTGGGTCTCACAGAAGCTGGGGAGCCCCCATTTTTCACTCACTCCAGCCAAATCCTGCTTCTTAGGGTTGAGATCTGGGAGACCCCAAATAAAGAGCTCTGTAAGCTTTGGCTTTGGGGAGCAAGATGGGTCGCCGGGGGGCTGATTATGGGGATCAAGCTAGTTCAACTTTCACACCCACTCAATATAGGTCCCAAATTTGTCATTCAAATACCACCCTCATGAACTTTGCACTATCTGCGTGTGCCCACTGGTTAGAATCCACTGATGTGGGGGTGGGGGAGAGGCCATGCCAAGTTTCACTCCCAGTCTCTGGCTTGTGCGAGACACCATTTCTGGAGATGTGGGATAGTGGTTTGGGAGGAAGTTGAGCCAGCAGTGTAGAAAGAGCCACAGGCGTGGTGCCCCCACCTGGCATGACAAGTGACTGTGCGCTGACAGTTGGCCTGCCTGTCAAATGGAGATGGCCATCCCTGGGCAGTGCCTTGGCTGGGGGTACAGGCTGGGAGTTGCTGGCTGGATTTCGCGTCTAGGAGACTGCCCCTACCCATGGCACCTGGGGCTGGGGAGGAGGAGGAAAAAGAAGAAGAATCTAACACCTAGAGACTCCAGGGCTGGGGGGCCCTCGGGTAACTATAGGCTCTGCCCCTCCCCATGGTGGCCAGCCTAGGAGACAAACTCCTGGGAGACAAGGATCTCAGGCTGCAATTCTGCTGCTTCCTGACACTCCTCTGTTAGGAGTCTGTCTTAACCCATGGTGTCCATGAAATCGTGGGTGCGATGTGTCTGTTATACATCTGTGCTAAAATATAGTAAATACACAGCTATGCAAAGAAGACATGCTCAACCTTATTTCACCTAATGTCATCTCTGCCTCTCTGCTGTGGCAGACAATGTTATCATGGGTGAATGTGCAGTGTCCCCGTCACCTGGGAACACCCCGCGCAGGCGCTGCCTTCCCCCTTCATCTTTGGGGTTCTCTGAGGGCAGGTGTTTTGTCTCTTTTCTTCTCTTCCTTCTCCTTCTTCTCTTCTTTCTTCTTTTTTTAAAATGTGACTGTGTAAAACTTGTAACTGAATTATAATACACACACAGGAAGGGGCACTTATCATGAGTATACAGCTCACCGACTTCTCACAGACCTACCGAACCAGAACTCAGGTCAAGAACAGAACATTATCAGTGCTCCCCAAAGGTCCTTTTTCCTCTTCCTCCAGCCTCCTGCCCAATTTAAAGAAGATTCTGACTCAGCTGATCGTTGTTGAGGGCTTGCTCTGTGCTGGCACTTTCATAATCATGGCTTTATTGGATTATTACAGCAACCCTGTGGGCCAGATTATCATCTCCATTTTACAGTCAGGGAAACTCAGGCTCAGAAAGGGTAAGTGATCTGTCGGGGTCAAAGGGTCAATAAGTGGTGGAGATTGGTCTTCTAAAGTCAATTACATGTCACACATCATCATCACATTCTTTAATATGTGCAAAGAGGGGTGGATGAAGAGTTAGAAGTAGGGTCCATATGTCATCGGAAATAAATCTGCATGGACATCTCTGAGATTATTTGCCCAGAAACATCCCTTACTTCTTCTGGGGACTTCTCCTGTCTACACTCTTCAAAATGCTTCCTGAGGGAGCTGTCAAGTTCTTACAGGGCCCTTCCTGCTGGCCACAGCTGATTGGTCCCGGAGTGGGCACTGATGAGCCAATCAGAGAGCTTTCCTAGGAATTTGGGTTTCATTCTTTCTCTGGAAATGTAAAACTCAGCTGCTGGTGGTTAGTTACATGGAGAAAGCCAGCCTACAGTGAGAGAGAAAGAGAGAGGAGAGGAGAGGAGAGGAGAGGAGAGGAGAGGAGAGAAGGGGCGGGGAGGGGAGACCAGGGGAAAGGAAGGGAAGAGAAGAGAGGAGAAAGGGAGGGGAGGGTCAGAGAGGGTGAGGGAGGGGAGGGGAATCCAAGTAGGACTGAGAAGCAGAGAAAAGGTCCTAGTGGTGTTTGGAACCCAGATTCCAGTTGACTCTAAGGCTCTGCCACATCCTTTCCATTCCTGCAGCTGGGTTGCAATGTGACATGCCTCCCATCCGTCCATCTGTCCATCCACCCATCCACCCATCCATCCATCCATCCATCCATCCATCCATCCAGTACATCCCCTTTTCCACCTAAGCCAGACAAGCAAGCTGCTGTCTGCAAGCACATTAATCAATAGATCAGATAAAAAACAAGAAGTCTGTCTATTTATCCATTTATACACACAGAGATCAATTTCCAGCTGTTTGAGATATAGATGGATAAAATGGACTCCTCTGTAGAATGGGGATAAGGTAACCTATCTTGTGGGATAATTGTGAGGGTTGGTTGATTAAACAAATATAAAGCATCCTGCCTGGCACACCTTCAATGATGGGATATTTTGGCAGGGGAGAAAGAGTCCATTTTAAAACCTTGAGCCCAGCTCTTCCTTACAGTAGAATTCTAATTAACAAATGTAGAATGAATGATAGAAACAGAAGAGCACCAGTAGGCAAACACCACCTGATGACCGTTGCAGGCCAGAAGCAGTAACAGATGTTAAAATTAGTGGGCAGAAGAATGGTGAGGAACCGGATACTTGCATAGTCTTAAAGTGTCTCCCAGAAGGGAGAGAAGGGGGCTTTCCAGGTAGGGGAGACTGGGGCAGGGCAGGCCAAGGGCACATGAGGACTTGGGACGTCTGGGGCCACTGAGGAGACTGACTGAGCTGTCAGATCAGGTTGGGTAGGCAGGGGCTGCAGACCCCCAAGGCCTGGCAGCCAATCGGGATCCCCTGGCTTGAGGCAGTAGGCCAGGGACACTAAGAAGGGATGTGGTGTGGGCCGGCCCCGTGGCTTAGCGATTAATTGCGTGTGCTCTGCTACTGGTGGCCCGGGGTTCGGATCCCGGGCGTGCACTGACGCACCGCTTCTCCGGCCATGCTTAGGCTGCGTCCCACATACAGCAACTAGAAGGATGTGCAACTATGACATACAACTATCTACTGGGGCTTTGGGGAAAAAAAGGAGGAGGATTGGCAATAGATGTTAGCTCAGAGCCGGTCTTCCTTAGCAAAAAGAGGAAGATTAGCACAGATGTTAGCTCAGGGCTGATCTTCCTCACAAAAAAAAAAAAAAAATGAAGGGATGTGGTGTGATTGGATTTTGCAGAAGGTTAGACGGGCAGCCATCAGACTCCTAGGGTCCTCCCAGCTGGGAAAGGGTCCCTGGAGGCCCATGCTGGGGAGTCTGGTGGGCCTCACAAGACTTGGGGAATCCCATGGATTCTGCTATATTCATAGAATTTGGCAAGATACCAAGGATCCTATGACTTTCTTTAGCCTGCTCTTCCAAATCTGCAGATCCCCCCGTCCCAGGGAAGGCACTCCCTTGCTACGTTGCCTTCCACCCCAGAGTCCAGCATGTCCCTGGGGACTGCAGGGAGGCATGAGAGCTGACTTGGCCCTGAGACACAATCAGGCAGGTACCTTCCTCTCCGTGCCAGGCCTGGGCAGACCTCTAGGGCCCTCCCTCCCCTCCATCATAGGGCTAGGGGAGGCTCCAGGGCTCTGGCTGGGCCGTGGGTCATGGTGGCCAGCGTGGAAAATCCCCCACTGGCTGGATTATATTGGCGTTTGGCAGGTCTGGTCTTGGCCTTCTGCCTGGGGCTCGATGACCTGACAAATCTGTTTGGAGCCCTGAGGGCAGGGTATGAGGTGACAGAGAGGGTACTGGCATGGGGACTTTTTCCACTCACCCCAAAATGGGGAGTTCTCCTGTGTCAGGTTAGCAGGCGCTGGGTCAGCCTTGGGTCACCTCAGGTAAAGAGAGACTTGTAGCTGGGAAGCACGGTGGCCAGAGATGAGGGATAGAGGCACATGATGGATCAGACCTGGGGTCAGGAAGAAGGGCAGACGAGGGCTTGGGAGAAGGGTAATGGGGGACACAGGAGTAGAGAGGGGGTAGAGTCGCAGTGGGGCAGGAGAAGAGAGACAATGAAGAACAGAAGCAAGGGCATTCTTGGACCCTCTTCCCACACTCCTGCCCAGGCCTCCTGTTGTTCCAGAAGCCAGTGCAGCTTACACTATGGGTGTGTCCTAAGCACTTGCTGAATTATGATGAGAATCTCTCCAAATGCCCCATTTGACCATGAAATCCTCCAAAGCTGCCTCCAATAGGTCAGACTTCAGCCATTGGCATCCCAGCCCCACTCCCTGCATCAGGGCTAATGATACCACCATCAGCACCACCCTCACCACCACCATTATCATTACCATCATCCTAGCTACCGAGCCTATCATCCCCAGACACCCTAACTGCATCCCCCAAGGGCTTGGGGGTGCTGGGAACAGGACTTGAGTCAGACCTCAGAGCGCATCACCTATAGACCAGCAGTTCTCAAGAATTTTGCCCCCTAAGGGGACATTTGGCAATGCCTGCAGACATTTCTGGTTGTCACAGCTGGCGGACTGCTGCTGGCCTCCAGTGGGTAGAGGCCAGGGGTGTGCTAAACATCCTACAGTGCACAAGACAGCCCCCGAACAAAGAACTATTTGCTCCAAAATGTCAATAGTACCGAGGATAAGAAACCTGCCTATAGATCCCATGGCCCTCACCCCAAAATGCCCCCGTCACGCCTCTAGTTCCTGGACAAGAAGTAGTCTTCGCCACTCCGTATTCCGGCAACTTTGTTCTCTCTTATCGCGTGCACCTCCTGGCTTCCACTGCTTATATTAAAAAGTCAATAAGATGAAAAGTCCTTTGTGGCCACCCTCAAGAGGGAAAACACACAGAAACAATTGATACCTGGAGCACAGGGCACACCCAGGGTTGAGGTCGTGCTTGCCCAGGGCAGGGAGGCAGGGGCTGGGCTAGATCCCAGGGTATAAAGGAAGAGGGAGTGCTCAGGCCCTCACTCCACGGCGATGGCGCAACTTGGAGCGGCTTTTCCTCTGTGGCCAGTTGGGAATCGGCTTCCTGAAGTGGACGGTGGTGGCCTTCATCTGCCTCCGGCTCTTGGAGGCGACAGTGCTCAAGTGAGTCTGGGGCCTGGCTGCTGGTGTGGGAGCTTGAGCAGGAGACTGGAGCCCTGCGAGGGGTGGCCTGGCCAGGGGACACTGCATCTGTCTCTGCTCTGGAATTTCTGCTAGGGGCGGGGAAGGCTCCCTGAGCCGGGGTAGGACAAGACTCAGAGGTAGGAGGAGATAGAGCCTCTGCCCTCAGGAAACTTCCAGTCAAAGGGAGAAGCACTGTCCCTTCCCCCATCTAATGAGAAAAGGTGGACCTGAAACAGAGAGAGTAGGGGCGACTACTGCCCATCAGACCCTGAATGGCAGGCGTGGTTTCCTCCCACAGAAAGGGTATATTTCTGGAGAGGGAGACATTTGCTAAAAATGTCCTTAAGGCCCCAAATTTATTTGGCAGATGTCAAAACCATCCAAGCAGAAACACCAGTAATGTAATCATACGTTGGGGTGTCAGGGGAAAGGGAGCGAGGTGGTATGGCTCACAGGACATCAGGGAGGGGCTCCCAGCCTGCCACACTGCCTGCTGTTCCATCATTAAAGAGTGATTCCTTGGGGAAGAGATGGCTCCTCTTAGAAACTTCTTTTATTATGAAAATTCTGTAGAGATGGTTACCATGAAGCAACAAGCTTCAGTCTTCATAGCTCAATGTGAATGGGTTTAGCAGAGAATTTCTGGAGAATGCAAGGTCCTGAGGGAATGGGGATTTAGTGAAAGAAGCAGGAATTCCAGAGCCTAGAGCAAGGCCTTGGTAGACCCGCAGAGAACTAGGCAATGGCAGCAAGCAGATCTGGTAGGAGGAGAACCAAGGGTGACATGGGCAGAAACCCACAATTCACAAGTCCCATTTCCAGAGCTGATCTGGGCTCCGGACCACCCAGGCCAACTTCCGGAGTGTCTTGGGGTCCTGAGATTAGCAATGATTGGCCCCAGGCAGATAATTAGCAGCAGGGGCAGAACTAGGACCCTGTCTTCCGAGTCTCAGTCTAGCCCTGCTCCTATGTACACATGCTCTGTCACATTCAGCCAGCCAGGTGCCTGAGGGCCCCCATACGAGCGGACTCTCTTGGGGGTGAACTTAGCCATCTCTGAAACCTTTTTTAAAAATGCACATCCCCTGCAAAGGACAATGCCTGGAGTCCCTCTCCCCTTCCTGGGAAGGAATTTATGGGCTATTTGAGAGCAGAGGGCCAGGGCGGATGAGGACCCTTGAGATGGGAGGGCGGACATGCACGGGTGAAGGTCCTTGTTTTCTGAGTCTTGGAGCAAGTCCAGAGAAGAGTTTTGAAAGAACGAGAAGGAGAGGGGAAGAAAGAAAGAGGTAGAGGGAGAAAGAGACAGATGTAGAAAGAGACATAGAGATGGAGATGGAGAAGGAGGGAGACACACAGATACACACAGACACACACAAGCGACAGACGCAGGGGGACAGAGTGGCGGGGAGACTGAGGCAGTCAGTGGAGAGAGATTGGGAGAGAGAGACTAGGGCTATTAGAAGTGATGCAGCAAAGAGGGAGGGCCCTGCCCACCTCCAGCCCTGCTGCAGAGTCCCCCTGAAGACATTAAAGTTCATCCGTGAGACCGTGAAGGAGAAGGGCTTACTGGAGGAGTTCCTGAGGACCCACAAGTACGGCCCCGTTCAGAAGTACCACTTTGGTGATTTCAGTGTGGCCCGTGAGCCCATGGCCTACACGGATGTGAGTCCTGACCCTCCCCAGGGCTACCCCTCTCCCTGCTGCCAAAGGCTGAAGGCCAGGCCCAGGCCATGAGCTGCACCCCTCCTCTCTGCACCCTCCCACCCAGCCCCTGGGGCTTGCTCCCTTCTCTCAGACCTGCCAGCCCAGACTGCCTTCCCTGTGCAGAGCATGGGAGTGGCCTCTGCTGACTTGGTAGCTCTGTCAAGAGAACTTTGCAGCTGCCCTGGGCAGGCACAGGCTGTAGGTTCTGGGCAAGTGTGGAGGGAAGGCTCGGGTCCCTGCTTCTAGTGTGGGCTGTAAGGCAGGGGCTGGTCCCTCCCCTGCTCTGCCCGTGGGGAAAGCTGGGCCTGATAGTCCCTGGATCCCTCCAGAGCTAACAGCCTGCCCCATGACCCCCCAGGCTTCCTACTTTGGCAAGATTAGCATTGGGACCCCACCACAGAATTTTCTGGTCCTTTTTGATACCAGCTCTTCCAACCTGTGGGTGCCCTCTGCCTACTGCCAGAACCAGGCCTGCGGTGAGTGATGGGCTGGGCAGGGCAGGGCACTGACACCCTCTGGGGAAGGGCCAAGCTTCACAGGGATTGCTGGGGGGGAGCTTCAGTCCTGGAGAGGACCAGGGACTTATCCAGGGTCACACAGCACACCCAAGCCAGAGGGAAGCTGGTCCCAGAGCTGGGTGGCCCCTTTGCCTTCTCTGCTCACCAATACATATTCCTTCATCTGCTCCAGCCCTCCCTACTCCACAACACTCTTTACTAAGTTCTCATTGAGTGTCTCCAAGGCACATGGGACAACAGTATCGGATGTGGTTCCCATCGTGAAGTCTATTTGGAGACAGGCCACGTTCACTTGCTTACGGCTGCCCTGGTCCCTGCCAAAGCCTTGGGGTGTGGGTCCTAGTCCAGAGGGTTCCTCACTGGCCCTGCCCTACACTATTCCAGAATCCTGGTATGGCCAGTGTCTTGACTGTGAGGGTCAGGGAATGCAGGAATGCCCTGGAGGCTCATTCACTCCTTCATCTGTTGAGTAATTTCTCGCCGCTCGCTGTGTGCCAGGCGATCTGCTGGGGGCCAGGGAGATAGAGATGGATTCCATGCAACCTGCCACAGGGAGGTCACAGTCCTAGGGCACCCCAAGAGTCTATAAGTCAGAGGGGGCTTTGGGGCCAAAGCTGGCCAGCTCCCATGTGCCTTCCAATGCCAGGAAACTCAGCTGGCCATCGCCTGATTGGGTGGCCGGGGGGTGCTGAAGCCCCAGGCTGTGAGCACAGGCTGGGAAACAGGTGGAAAGCCCTATAGGCCTGAGAGCTGGACAGCCCTCGACTGGCCAGCCTGAATCCCTAAATCCTCCCTCCCCCTGCAGTTGGCCACGCCCGCTTTAATCCCAGTGGGCCCTCACCTCCTCCACCAACGGGGAGACCTTCTCCCTGCAGTATGGTGGCAGCGGCAGCCTCACCAGCTTCCTCATACTCTGACCGTGAGTGATGCTGTCTGCCACTCCCCACCCCTGGATGTGGATTCTGATGGGGAGACTCAGACAGAGACCCTGAATATGGAAAAACACCTCGTGCTCTACTGTACAGGACAGGCAATCAGTACAATAAAGGCTCATTCATTCACTTATCCAACCCTCACTGGGGACCATCATGTGCCAGGCACCGAGGACACCATGATGAATGGGATGACGGGTCCTTCTCCTTAAGGAGCTGAAAGCCTGGGGAAGAAGGAGATGGTGGGGAGAGTGCTTCCACAGTCAGAGCAGGCTACTCGGAAGAGAAAGCGGCTCTTTCAAGACCTGTCAAGAAGGGAAGGAGCAGAAGTGAGGGAGGGATGAAGAACGAGCCTTGAGGGGTCTCTGGGGGAGTGTGGGGGAGGTGGGTGAAGTTACACTTGTCATCTCCCATCCTCTGTGCCCCCTCCAGGTCCAGAGCATCCAGGTCCCCAACCAGGAGTTCAGCCTGAGTCAGAATGAGCTGGGCACCAATTTCATCTACTTGAAGTTTGATGGCATCATGGGCATGGCCTACCCTGCCCTGGCCGTGGGTGGGGCCGCCACAGCCCTGCAGGACATGCTGCAGGAGGGCGCCCTCACCAGCCCACCCAGTCTTCAGCTTCTACCTCAGCAAGTGAGGAACCGCCTGGAGGTCCCCAACTCCCAGCCCACCCGCCCTCAGCCCTGGACAACTGAGGCTCAAAGCTTTGAGGTTTAGAGGCCTCCCAGCAGGCCACACTTGTCCTAGGGCCTTCCCTCCTGGGCTCCTGACTCCTCCCCCACTCCACCCCTCGTCCCCCATCCCTGCCTCTGTCCCCGCCCACTCTGACGTCTTTGCATTTCTTGGCCTGGACAGAATCTCCTCTTCTGGCTCAGCTTTGCTCTGAGTGTTGCTGCTGTTTCTTGGTAACTCTTGGATTTACCTCCTGTCCAGAGCCCCAGTTAGCTCATTTCTTTCTGACCACATGTTTTCTATCTGGACACCTCTTTTGTATGGTAATCTATTGCTTCATCTCCTTTGATCTATTGTTCTAGCCAGGTCCTGGAGCATCCTGGTCTAGGTCCACCATTAACTCCTAACAAGTTGTTGTCCTCACTGCAAACACAAGCCAACGCAGGTATTTACATGGATGGACCTGGGAGCTGGGCGGTGGGAGGGGGCGAGCTGCCTGGGATGGACTTTCTTTCTTTCCTCTACAGAATTAACCAACCACCTTCTAGAGATTGGCAGCATCTAGTATCTGGAGCTTAATCACTTGAATATCACCATATTACTAAGGTTGCTGACTTACTCTCTACCTCTGTTTACAATAACTCTGAGTTTAGCTTTTATGAGCTCCACCCAATTCCACAATCAGATTCAGCTACCAGGAGAGGCCTCTGAAACAAATACAGAATGTCCTTCCATCGTCTCCACCAAGGCTCTACCTCCCTCCAATCACAGCAGAAAAATAATGAGCTGGGTCCAGGTCAGGCTCCCAGTGACACGCTCCACCAACAGCATGAAGTGGAAGGGAGAGGAGAACGGAGTAGGGGGCAGGGTAGGGGGCCAGACAACCAGCAGTTTCCCCAGAGGCAGGACTTTGTAGAGCAGCAGCATCTGGGAGCCTGAGGCACTGGGAACTCTGAGATGCCCAGCCTAGGAGCCCCAGTCAGAGGTGGGGACCCAGCCCTGCCCTCAGGAGCCCCAGTCTGAGGGGGGAGACACATTCCTGCCCTCAGGGAGCCCCAGTCTGAGGGGAGACACAGCCCTGCCCTCAGGGAGCCCCAGTCTGAGGGG